TGATAAATTAAATTTATTGAACACATTTTTTAATTTTCTAGCACTTTCATGAAGTTTAATTACTGTATAATTTTTTATCTGATAAACTATTATATTAATACTCTACTCAATGGAAAGTACACAATTCAACCGCATATTGTTCTTTTGTTAATCTAACCTCAACTCACCATAATACTCTACCATGAATAGAAAAATAGATAGAAATCTAGGTGGTGGCTTTGGAAAGAAAACAAATGGGAAAAAAAAAATTTTAATACCTTTTCATTGAAAATTTGTGTCCCGAAGAAAAAGGATTATCATGTTCATCTTGGGTTTCACCAAACAAGTCAAAATGTGTCCTTAGGGGACTTTTGGTGGTAATTGAGAGGTTGAGGCATCGCACTGGAGGTTTAGACTCGAATCGGGGAGGGTAATTCCCCGATTTATAGTCTATTATTTCATCTTAATCATGTTGTTTGTTTTAAAGTTTTTAATAAAGCTTTTTATTTTTATTTTTATTTTTGATTAATTAAATATATTTAAAATTTTTGTAAAATTGTATAGTAGTTCCATTAGCTGAGGTTCTGTCTTGATTGGAAAAATAAATGTTAATGAAAATGTTTTTTTTTTTAAATTTTAATTTGCAAAATAAAGGAATCTATACACATGTGGTTTTGTTATATAGTAATTTAGAAATAAAAATGAAAATAAAAATAAGACTAAATTATTATATATAGTAACAATTGTTAAAATTAACTGATTCTAAGTTATTCTAAGTGGGTGCTAGTAAAGTTGGGGAAAATAGCCTACACATCATGACAATAAGAGCAAAAGGATTAGAACAATTATAGCTCTTAAAATTAAAGGTAAAATGCAACTGAATTGAAGAAATAATTACCTTTTCCTCCAAGGGTGATGGTGTGTCGTATGTGACATTTGTACTTGCAAAAAATTTAATGAATCTCTCAAAATTTATGCAGTTCAATATTCGTAGTTGTTTTAAGGATGAGAATTCTACAGTATAATTTCCTGCGCAGAAGCTGACAAGGTTTTGAAGGTCCTCTATCACCAGAAAAGTCAATTGAGGAAAA